GGTTTGGGGGGATTCAGGGCGCCCCAAAAACCCACAGGGCTGGAGGTGTCACAGGGCTCAGGGGAATGGGGTTTGGGGGGACTCAGGGTGCCCCAAACCCCCCCGGGGGGCTGGAGGTGTCACAGGGCTCAGGGGAACTGGGTCTGGGGGGATTCAGGGCGCCCCAAAAACCCACAGGGCTGGAGGTGTCACAGGGCTCGGGGGAATGGGGTTTGGGGGGGGCTCAGGGGAATGGGGTTTGAGGGGATTCAGGGCACCCCAAAACCCCCCCAGGGGCTGGAGGTGTCACAGGGCTCGGGGGAATGGGGTTTGGGGTGATTCAGAGCACCCCAAACCCCCACAAGGGGCTGGGAGAGGTGTGGAGGTGTTGGGGGAACTGGGTTTGGGGAGATTCAGGGCACCCCAAAAACCCACAGGGCTGGAGGTGTCACAGGTGTGTCAGGGGAATGGGGTTTGGGGGGAACTCAGGTGTCCAGGGATGTCCCAAAGGTCCTTGTGGGGTCCCCCCAGTTTTTGGGGTGCCCGGGCCAGGGCACCGCATCACCCGGGGCAGGGGACAGCGTGGGGACAGCGTGGGGACAGCCAGGGACAGCCAGGGCACCGCGTCACCCGGGGCAGGGGACAGCGGGGACAGCGTGGGGACAGCCAGGGACAGCGCAGGGACATCCAGGGACAGCCAGGGACAGCCAGGGCACCGTGTCACCCGGGGCACGAGACAGCAGGGACAGCGCGGGGACAGCCAGGGCACCGCGTCACCCGGGGCACGAGACAGAGGGGACAGCGTGGGGACAGCCAGGGACAGCCAGGGCACCGCGTCACCCGGGGCAGGGGACAGCATGGGGACAGCGTGGGGACACGCCAGGGACAGCGCGGGGACAGCCAGGGCACCGCGTCACCCGGGGCGGGGGACACCGCGGGGACACGGCAGGGACACCCGGGGCACGGGACAGCGGGGACAGCGCAGGGACACCCAGGGACGCAGCAGGGACACAGCAGGGACACCCAGGGCACCGTGTCACCCAGGGCACAGGGACACCGCGGGGACACCGCGGGGACAGTGGGGACAAAGGGCACCCAAGGGCAGTGGGGACAATGGGCACCCAGGGGACAATGGGGACATCAGGCACCCAGAGGACAATGGGGACATAGGGCACTCAGGGGCCAGTGGGGACAGCGGGCACCCAGGGGACAATGGAACAGCAGTGACACTGGGCACCCAAGGACGTGTGGCACCATGGGGACATCAGGCACCCAGGGGACACCCACGGGGACAACTGAGTGTCCCCAAGGGCACAGCGCACCCACGGGTGACACCGGGCACCCCTGGGGACACAGGGACAGCCAGCAGCGCCGAGGGACCCGGCAGGGAGTGTCACTGCCACCAGGGTGTGGTGACAGCAGGGGACGTGGAGGGGACACAAGTGCCACCAGGGGTCACCCGCTGTCACCGGCTGCCAGCAGGGACAGGGACACTGGGGTCACCTGGGGACATGGAGGGGACGTGGGGACAGCTGGGGACACGCAATGTAAATGAGGCCACTTGGGGACAGTGTCACACGGAGGGGACACGGGGTACAGTGCCACACAGGGCACCTGGGGACAGTGCCACACGGAGGTGACATGGGGTCACCTGGGGACAGGGACACATGGACAGGACATGGGGTCACCTGGGGGATTTGGGGTGCCCTGAGGAGTTTGAGGTGCCCTGGGTGGTATTTGGGGTGCCCTGGGGGGGGGTTTTGGAGTGCCCTGGGGGATATTTTGGGGTGCCCTGGATGGGATTTGGGGTGCCCTGGGGGGTTTGGGGTGCCCTGGGGGGTTTGGGGTGCCCTGGATGGGTTTTGGGGTGCCCCGGGGGACATTTTGGGGTGCCCTGGATGGGTTTAGGGTGCCCTGGGGGGTTTGGGGTGCCCTGGAGGGTATTTGGGATGCCCTGGGGGATATTTTGGGGTGCCCCGGAGGGGATTTTGGGGTGCCCACCTGTGGTTGATGATGCGGTGCACCGTCATCCACTTGGGCTTGATGCCCCAGGGGGATTTAGGGTGCCCTGGGGGGTTTAGGGTGCCCTGGGAGGGTTTAGAGTGCCCTGGCGGATTTGGGGTACCCTGGGGGATATTTTGGGGTGCCCCGGAGGGGATTTTGGGGTGCCCACCTGTGGTTGATGATGCGGTGCACCGTCATCCACTCGGGCTTGATGCCGCAGGGGGATTGAGGGTGCCCTGGGGGGTTTGGGGTGCCCTAGGGGATGTTTTGGGGTGCCCTGGGGGATGTTTTGGGGTGCCCCAGTGGACATTTTGGGGTGCCCACCTGTGGTTGATGATGCGGTGCACCGTCATCCACTCGGGCTTGATGCCGTAGCGGTAGAAGCGCTCCTCCATGCCCCCGAAGAGGGGGTCCCCCCCGGCCCCCCGCTTCTCGCTCTTGGGGTCGTCGTCCCCCGAGCCGTAGTCCAGGGGAGGGGGCTCGTCCATGTCGTTCTTGCGCTGGTAGTTCCGGTACATCACCAGGTGGAAGATCTCCAGCTGCGCCCCGACATCAAAGGGGAACACCCCAAATTAGGGGGGACACCCCGAAGTTAGAGAGGAAAACCCCGAAGTTAGAGGGGACACCCCAAAGTTAGAGGGGAAAACCCCAAAGTTAGAGAAGAAAACCCCAAAGTTGGGGGGAACACCCCAAAGTAAGAGAGGAAAATCCCAAAGTTAGGGGGGCACCCCAAAGTTAAAGGGAATCACCCCAAAGTTAGGGTGGACATCCTGAAGTTAGGGAGAAAAAGCCCAAAGTTAAAGGGAATCACCCCAAAATTAGAGCACCCCAAAGTTAGAGAGGGGTTAGGGGGGCACCCCAAAGTTAAAGGGAATCACCCCAAAGTTAGGGTGGACATCCTGAAGTTAGGGAGAAAAAGCCCAAAGTTAAAGGGAATCACCCCAAAGTTACAGGGAATCGTCCCAAAATTAGACAGAGCATCCCAAAGGTAGAGGGGAAAACTCCATAGTTAGGGGGGACACCCCAAGGTTAGAGGGTAAAACCCCAAAGTTAGAGGGGAAAACCCCAAAGTTAAAGGGAATCACCCAAAAATTAGAGCATCCCAAAATTAGAGGGGAAAACCCCAAAGTTAGGGGGGATACCCTAAAGTTAGAGAGGAAAACCCCAAAGTTAGAGAGGAAAACCCTACAGTTAAAGGGAATCACCCCAAAATTAGAGCATCCCAAAGTTAAAGGGGACACCCCAAAGTTAGGGGAGCATCCCAAAGTTAGAGAGGAAAACCCCAAAGTTAAAGAGAATCATCCCGAAATTAGAGCATCCCGAAGTTAGGGGGGACACCCCAAAGTCAGAGGAGACACCCCAAAGTTAGACAGGAAAACCCCAATGTTAGAGAGGATACCCCAAAGTTAGGGGGGGCACTCCAAAGTTGGAGGGGAAAACCCCAAAATTAGAGCACCCCAAAGTTAGAAAGGGCATCCCAAAGTTAAGTGTGGAATCCCCCCATGTACTTTGGGGTATCCCCCCGGGTTTTTGGGGTCCCCCCGGGTTTTTGGGGTCCCTGGGGTGTACCTGGAGCTCCTTGATCCAGGAGCAGTGCCAGTAGGACAGCCCCATCCATACTTTAGGGTGTTCCCCCTTACTTTGGGGTATCCCCCCCATACTTTGGGGTATCCCCCCCGGGTTTTTGGGGTCCCGGGGTGTTTTGGGGTCCCCCCGATGTTTCTGGGGTGTACCTGGAGCTCCTTGATCCAGGAGCAGTGCCAGTAGGACAGCCCCACCCATGACTGAACCCCATCCATACTGAGCCCCCCCATTTGTCCAGCTGTCCTCCCATACTCTGGGATATCCCCCCCGGGTTTTTGGGGTCCCCCCGGGTTTTTGGGGTGTACCTGGAGCTCCTTGATCCAGGAGCAGTGCCAGTAGGACAGCCCCACCCACTTGACGAAGAACTCGCGCTCCGAGCGGCCCTGCAGGGCCTGGGGGGGCCCCTCCTGCGCCTGGGGGGCCCCGGGGGCGGCCACGGGGGCGGGGGGCTCCCCCCAGCGCCAGTAGAGGATCTTCTGCACGCGGCCCTTCAGCACCGGGCACTGCGGGGACAGGGACACTGCTGGGGACACCGCGGGGACATCAGGGACATCGAGGCGACACTGCTGGGGACAGGGACACCGCGGGGACAGGGGCACTGCTGGGACATCAGGGACATCGAGGGGACACTACCAGGACACTGCTGGGACAGGGACACTGCTGGGGACACCGCGGGGACAGGGACACTGCTGGGACATCAGGGACACCGCGGGGACAGGGACACTGCAGGGACAGGGACACTGCTGGGGACACCGCGGGGACAGGGACATCGAGGGGACACTGCTGGGGACAGGGACACCGCGGGGACAGGGACACTGCAGGGACAGGGACACTGCTGGGGACACCGCGGGGACATCAGGGACATCGAGGGGACACTGCTGGACCCCAAGGTGGGGCCCTGCTGTCCCCATGAGCCCACAGTGTCCCCATGTCCCCACATCCCCAGGACACTGCTGGGACAGGGACACTGCTGGGGACAGGGACACTGCGGGGACACCGCGGGGACAAGGACACTGCTGGGACACTGCTGGGACATCAGGGACACTGCTGGGACACTGCTGGGGACACCGCGGGGACATCAGGGACATCGAGGGGACATCGAGGGCAGGGGGCTGTGCCCTGAGGTGGGGCCCTGCTGTCCCCGCGGTGTCCCCGCAGTGTCCCCACATCCCCACAGTGTCCTCATGTCCCCACACTGTCCCCATGTTCCCATACCCCCTGCTGTCCCCAGTGTCCCCATGTCCCCCAGACCCCTGCTGTCCCTGCTGTCCCCAGTGTCCCAGTGTCCCCAGTGTCCCTGCTGTCCCCAGTGTCCCCACACCCCCGCTGTCCCCAATGTCCCCAGTACCGTGCAGTGGGGACAGAGCCACTCTCCGTTGGGGACCTCGGGCAGCGGCGGGTTCAGGCAGTGGATGTGGTACGAGGACACCACACCCCCAGTGCCCCTGCTGTCCCCGGTGTCCCCAGTGTCCCCAATGTCCCCAATGTCCCCAATGTCCCCGGTACCGTGCAGCGGGGACAGAGCCACTCTCCGTTGGGGACCTCGGGCAGCGGCGGGTTCAGGCAGTGGATGTGGTACGAGGACACGCAGGCGTCGCAGCACAGCAGCTCGCCGCCGTCCTTGCACACGCGGCAGTACTCCATGTGGTCGTCTTCCTCCTCCTTCTCGCCCTCGATGTCCCCAGTCCCCTCCCAGTCCCCTCAGGATGCCCCCAGTCCCTCCCAGTCCCTCCCAGTCCCTCCCAGTCCCCTCCCAGTCCCCCCAGTGCCGTCCCCGGGCCGCTCACGCAGTGGGGGCAGCTCCAGCGGCCCTCGGGCGCGCGGTCCAGCTCGGGGTCCAGGCACACCAGGTGGTAGGCGCGGGGGCAGGTGTCGCACAGGATGATCTCCCCGCCCTGCTGGCACACCTCGCAGTAGTCCTGGTGGTCGGTCTCGTAGCCATCGCCCTCGTCCTCGGGGCCAGGCCCTGCGGGGCACGCGCGGCTGTCACCTCTGCCACCGTCACTCTGTCACCTGTCACTGCTGTCACTGTCACTCTGTCACTGTCACTCTGTCACTGTCACTGCTGTCACTGTCACTGCTGTCACCTCTGTCACCTCTGTCACCTGTCACTGCTGTCACTGTCACTGTCACCTCCATCACCCTGTCACCTCAGTCACCCTGTCACCTCTGTCTCCTCTGTCACCTCTGTCACCGTTTCACCCCTGTCACCTCTGTCACCCTTTCACCTCTGTCACCTGTCACTCTGTCACGCTGTCACCTCTGTCACCCTGCTACTGCTGTCACTCTGTCACTCTGTCACCCTGTCACCTGTCACTCTGTCACCTGTCACCCTGTCACTCTGTCACCTGTCACTCTGTCACGCTGTCACCCTGTCACTGCTGTCACCCTGCTACTGCTGTCACTCTGTCACCCTGTCACCTCTGTCACCTGTCACTGCTGTCACCTGTCACTCTGTCACGCTGTCACCTCTGTCACCTTGTCACTGCTGCCACCTTTATCACCCTGTCACTCTGTCACTGCTGTCATCTCTGTCACCCTGTCACCTCTGTCACCTCTGTCAGCTCTGTCACCTTGTCACTGTCAGCTCCATCACCCTGTCACTGCTGTCATCTCTGTCACCCTGTCACCTCTGTCACCTCTGTCACTGTCACCTCTGTCACCCTGTCACCTCTGTCACTGTCACCTCTGTCACCTCTGTAACCTCTGACACCTGTCACCTCTGTCACCTCTGTCACCTCTGTCACTGCTGTCACGGCTGTCACCTCTGTCACTCTGTCACCTCTGTCACCCTGTCACTGCTGTCACTGCTGTCAGCAGCTCCAGCTCGGGGTCCAGGCACACCAGGTGGTAGGCGCGCGGGCACGTGTCGCACAGGATGATCTCCCCGCCCTGCTGGCACACCTCGCAGTAGTCCTGGTGGTCGGTCTCGTAGCCATCGCCCTCGTCCTCGGGGCCAGGCCCTGCGGGGCAGGCGCGGCTGTCACCTCTGCCACTGTCACTCTGTCACCTGTCACTGCTGTCACCTCTGTCACCGTCACTCTGTCACCTGTCACTGCTGTCCCCCTGTCACCTCTGTCACCCTTTCACCTCTGTCACCTGTCACTCTGTCACGCTGTCACCTCTGTCACCCTGCTACTGCTGTCACTCTGTCACTCTGTCACCCTGTCACCTGTCACTCTGTCACCTGTCACCCTGTCATGCTGTCACCTGTCACTCTGTCACGCTGTCACCCTGTCACTGCTGTCACCCTGCCTCTGCTGTCACTCTGTCACCCTGTCACTCTGTCACGCTGTCACCCTGTCACTGCTGTCACCCTGTCACCTCTGTCTCCTCTGTCACCCTGTCAACCTGTCACCTCAGTCGCCCTGTCACCTCAGTCACCCTGTCACCTCTGTCACCCTTTCACCTCTGTCACCCTTTCACCCCTGTCACCTCTGTCACCCTGTCACTCTGTCACCCTGTCACTCTGTCAGCTGTCACTGCCTGTCACCTGTCACTCTGTCACGCTGTCACCTCTGTCACCTTGTCACTGCTGCCACCTTTATCACCCTGTCACTCTGTCACTGCTGTCATCTCTGTCACCCTGTCACCTCTGTCACCTCTGTCAGCTCTGTCACCTTGTCACTGTCAGCTCCATCACCCTGTCACTGCTGTCATCTCTGTCACCCTGTCACCTCTGTCTCCTCTGTCACCCTGTCAACCTGTCACCTCCATCACCTCTGTCATCTGTCACTGCTGTCACTGTCACCTCCATCACCCTGTCACTGCTGTCACCCGTCACCTGTCACTGCTGTCACCTCAGTCACCCTGTCACTACTGTCACCCCGTCACCTCCGTCACCCTGTCACTGCTGTCACCTCTGTCTCCTCCGTCACCCTGTCACCTCTGTCACCTCTGTCACTGTCACCTCTGTCACCTCTGTAACCTCTGACACCTGTCACCTCTGTCACCTCTGTCACCTCTGTCACTGCTGTCACGGCTGTCACCTCTGTCACTCTGTCACCTCTGTCACGCTGTCACCTCTGTCACCTGTCACTCTGTCACCTCCGTCACCTCTGTCACCCTGTCACTGCTGTCACTGCTGTCAGCAGCGCCCCCCCTCAGAGGGTGTGGGGGGCAATGGGGACACTGGGGACAGGGATGGGGACACTGGGGGAACTGGGCAGGGGGACATGGGGACAGGGCTGGGGACACAGGGACAAGGCTGGGGACACGGGGACAGGGCAGGTGACACTTGGGGACACCCCACAGAGGACAGCAGGGACTGGGGACCCCCCAGCCACCAGCACCGGGCTGGAGACAGAGACAGAACCGCGGCTCCTGCTCGGGGTGGGGACACCCGCGGGGGCCTGGGGACCGCGGGTGACACCCTGGGGACACTCGGGATGTGTCACTGTGCGTCCCCACGGGGCCCTGGCCCGGTGCTGGGGCATGCAAGGAGGGGACACAGGGAGGGGACACAGGGAGGGGACACGGGGAGGGGACACAGGGATGTCACCATGGCCTGGCGGGGCGGTGGCACCCGGGGACACCTGGGGGCACTCGGGAACACTTGGGGACACGTGGGGACACTCGGGGACCACCCTGTCACTGCTGTCACCTGTGTCTCCTCCGTCACCCTGTCACCTCTGTCACCTCTGTCACGCTGTCACCTCTGTCACCTCTGTCACGCTGTCACCTCTGTCACCTGTCACTCTGTCACCTCCGTCACCTCTGTCACCCTGTCACTGCTGTCACTGCTGTCAGCAGCACACCCCCTCAGAGGGTGTGGGGGGCAATGGGGACACTGGGGACACTGAGGGAACTGGGGATGGGGACATGGGGACAGGGCTGGGGACATGGGAACAGGGCTGGGGACACAGAGATGGGACATGGGGACAGGGCAGGTGACACAGGGACAGGGCAGGTGACACTTGGGGACACCCCTCAGAGGACAGCAGGGACTGGGGACCCCCCAGCCACCAGCACCGGGCTGGAGACAGAGACAGAACCGCGGCTCCTGCTCGGGGTGGGGACACCCACGGGGGCCTGGGGACCGCGGGTGACACCCTGGGGACACTCGGGATGTGTCACTGTGCGTCCCCACGGGGCCCTGGCCCGGTGCCAGGGCATGCAAGGAGGGGACACAGGGAGGGGACACAGGGATGTCACCATGGCCTGGCGGGGCGGTGGCACCCGGGGACACCTGGGGACACTCGGAGATGCTCAGGGACACGCGGGTCACTTGGGGACACTCAGGAACACTCGGGGACACTCGGGGACACTCGGGGACACCTGGGGACACTCGGGGATGCTCGGGGACATTTGGGGACACTCAGGGACACTCGGGAACACTTGGGGACACTTGGGGATGCTCGGGAACGCTCAGGGACACTCGGGGACACCTGGGGACACTTGGGGACACTGGGGATGCTCGGGGACACTGGGGACGCTGGGGACACTCAGGGAGACTCAGGGACACTTGGGGATACTCGGGGACACTGGGGACACTCGGGGACACTCAGGGACACCTGAGGACACTTGGGGACACTGGGGATGCTCAGGAACGCTCAGGGACACTGGGGACACTCGGGGACACTCAGGGACACTCGAAAACACTTGGGGACACTTGGGACGCTCAGGGACACTCAGGGACACTGGGGACACGCGGGGACACTGGGGACACTCACCCTTCTTCTTCTTGCGGCCGGGGCGGCCCCGCTTGAGCTTCTTGAGGCGCGCGCCGGGGTCGGGGCGGGGCGCGGCCCCCAGAGCCCCCCCGGGGCTCTCGGCGTCAGACTCCTCCTCGGCCTCGCCCGCGTCCTCGCTCTGCTCGGGGACAGCGGGACAGCAGGGGACAGAGGGGACATGGGGTCACCAGGGGACATCAGGGACAAATGCCCCATCCCATGCATCCACCCTCAGTGTCCCTGTCCTTGGGTGTCCCCACTCCCAGTGCTCCCAGCGCTCCCAGTGCCCCCTGCCCCGTCCCCCAGTGCTCCCAGTGCCCCCTGCCCCATCCCCCAGTGCTCCCAGTGCTCCCAGTGCCCCTCAGGGCTCTCACCGAGCTGCTCTTCTTGCGTTTGCCTCCCAGTACTCCCAGTTTGATCTTGAGCGGCGCCATCTTCCTGCCCTTCATCTTCCTCTTCAGCTCGGGCACCCGCGGGCTCTTGCTGCGCTTCTTGTGCCCGGGGCCTGCGGGCACGGGGGTCAGGGACCCCAAAACATCCCCAGGGACCCCAAAACCACCCCAGGGACCCCCCTCCAACCATCCCAGGGACCCCCAAACCACCACAGGGACCCCAAAACATCCCAGGGACCCCAACAAGCCAGGGGACCCCAAAACATCCCCAAACCACCTCAGGAACCCCTCTCCAACCTTCCCAGGGGCCCTCAACAACCCAGGGACCCTAAAACATCCCAGGGACCCCCAAACCACCACAGTAACCCCCAAACCCTCTGAGGTTGACCCCACGGACTGGGGGGGCACCCCCAGCCCCCCCAGTAACCCCCAAACCCCCAATAACCCCCAAA